GAGAACAAGAAAGAGAGAAGCGTACCGGCCATCAGCTGTTCGAACCCAGCCTCCGCAGCCAACATGCCACTCTTCATCGCGTTGTGGGTACCCTTGATTTTCGGGACATTGACCAAACCCGCACTGCACCCTATGAGAGCCCCGCCAGGGAAGAACAGCTTTGGTAAACTCTGAACACCGCCTTCGTTGATCACCCTGGCCCCATACGCAACTCTCTCTCCACCATCGAGAAGTTGTCTAAAATACGGGTGGTGCTTCCACTGTTGGAGAGAACGGTAGGGCGAAAAGTATGGGTTGGCGTAATCGAGTCCAGCCACCAACCCGAGCGAGACGAGTCCGTCCGCCATATGATACACGAATCCACCTCCATATGTTTTCCAGTCGAATGGCCATCCCATGGTGTGAATAACCTCTCCTGGCCGGTAGTTGTCCGGTTTGACGCGCCAGACCTCTTTGACCCCGATCCCGTACGTCTGCTCGTCCGCCCCGATAGACTTGCGTAAATCAAAGTCCCGGATAACGGACTTGGTTAGAGAGCCGTGAGCGCCTTCTGCGAGGAGTGTCAGTTTGGCGTTGAACTGCATGCCCGGCTCAAATGTATCCTTGAGCCGTCCCGCTCGGTCTACTCCCACTTCGTTCGTAACCACTCCAGTGACATTCTTCTTCTTTGCGTCTCCATCACCGCTAGCATCGTTGCCGTATACGAGCCTAGCTCCGGCAAACCCCGGGTAAATTTCTACCCCCATCTCTTCGGCGATACCGCCCAACCAGCGTGTGAACTGGGAGAGGGAGAGGATGTAGTTGCCCTTGTTGGACATTTGGGGTGGGTGAGGCATGGGGAATGACCTCTTTGAAGTGAACCATCGCATTGTAGAGGAGGTGGCTGGCTGGGTGAGTGGATGCGAGTCCATCTCGGCCCAGTTCGGGAGCAGCTCATCCAGAGCCCGGGGTTCGATGACCGCTCCGGACAATGTGTGTGCACCTAGGCCGTTGAATTACAATTATTTATTTATTTATTTTGAGGTTATGGCAATAGAATGTGGTTCAATAGCGGAGAAGAGGGTCGGCATTGGCGATATTGTAGGTCAGGACGCGAATATCGATATGACCGAGCACCGGTATTTGCGAGACGAGGCATGATGTCAGTGGACCGGATGGGTGGGAAAGCGGGATTCGCAGAGGCCAACATGATTTCCATAAGCGGCACAAGTTGTCCAGCGAGCACGATAGGGTCAAGATGCGTATTTTGAGAATGCCAGGTACACCGCAAACACCGTATGGGAGGATGTTATTGCGAGCACCGTCGATGTTTGATCGTATCCCAAGGCACGAGGTGGTCAAGATTGTCGGTGGAATTTGTTGTCCCCAATGAAGAGTGGCATGTTGGCTGCGGAGGCTGGGTTCGAACAGCTGATGGCCGGTACGCTTCTCTCTTTCTTGTTCTC